GTGAGAAGCTAGAAGACTGGGATTTTGAAGAGATGTTTCCTCACAGTCCTGGCGGCCAGTCTGAAATTCTTTTAGTTAGAAGCATCTGCAGAAAAACCAGTGCCGTTAGCGACAAAAATCTGCGGGGAGCTATGCAAAAAGCGCATCTTCGCACGGGCAGCCTGTGCGTTGGCCAATTATATTAGAATTATCGGGAAGACACTGCGCTATTTATGTGCGGCGTTCCCGTTAAAATTTTTATAATGGCGCGCGCCATCAGTGTGAGGCTCTTGCCACCACTGAAAAGCAGCTAGACGTCCATCCAGCTTGTCAGATTGTTCCATCTCGAACTGCGCGCCCTTTTTATTACTACCTGACACCTTCGCATCATTTCGCAAAAACTGACCCTTTAAAAAAAATTAAATTTTCGCTAAAATCTAAAGCAGAGATATACACAAACAACTAAATTATTTTTAAGAAAATTAATTTTAATTTTCTTTTAGCGAACGGATGCATGATTTAGCAGCAGTGGGAAAAAATTTAATTCAGCAATTGGAGGCAGGAGCCTGTCAAAAAGGTGCAAAATCTGAGCAAAAGAAATGCAACATTCAGCAACAGGATCAATAAACCAGTTAGGACTGCTGAGTTTCATTGAAAAATGAATTTATTAGTTATCAAAAACGTCCCGTACAAGCGAAAGTCGAAAGCGAGATAATGCACATTTTTTTGAAAAATGGGTAAGCACTTCTTCGACAAATCCGACGGCTGCTTAAAATTACACTACACTTGTCCTTGCCAATGACAAATATGAGTGTGGACCGAAAAGCTGCTGCCAGACGTGTAAAAGCGAATCTGACCAGTCCACTGGAGATGAAGAATGCAAAGGGTAGGTTAATCCCACGTAACATCGCAAAACCGTACTGTGAAAGACATGATGGCGCTCAGGTAAAAAAAACGCGTGTGCCCAAAACGAAGATTCCGCATGTCGTTGAGCAACAGAGGAATAAGTCCCAAGTCAATCCGAAAATGTCTTTATAGCATCCTCAGAATGAAAGAACTTAGCGCTTTTCCATAAAATGCAAAATTCAAATTTACGAGATCACTTAACCGGTACTGAGAAGCACCAAAGCAATCAAAATTAGCGACCTCGATGCACCAACAGCCATTCGTGTTTTCAGGAATTTTTCTTCTTTGGATTATTGCCTATGAATCCAGTATCCCGCAGCAAAACCTTACCATCTCAACCAAATCTGATATCCTTTTGACTGAGAACATTTTTAACTCCCAGTTCGAGGTAAAAAACGAGCACACTTCCACCAAGTGAGAAAAACGTTTCTCGATACTCTCTCTATTTTTCATATAATGGAAAAAGCGAGGACGAAATTCTTGCACGCTGCAAGAGCAATAAACGCTTTACTGTAACCATTCCATGCAAACAACACCAAATAATGAACAGTAAATTCAACAGCGAACAAAAATAGCGACGTGAATTCC